TTTAGTTTAATATTTTAATATTTAATAAAATAGTCTATTTAAGGCAATATATCCAGGATATAATCATTTCCACATATAACCAATGCTAAAAAATAACTAAGATACTTTGCTTTTTTTTTCCCCCACATAAAACGTCAAAATCCAGTGTGTATTTTTTTCACTTAGAGCACATTTCAATTCAGACTAGCCATAATTTCAAGTGTTCGACAGTCACACGTGGCTGATGGCACCATACTGGGCAGCACAGGTCTACAGAAAAGTCAGTACCATTTGGTCACCTAGTCCAGGAATTCATTTATTATATTTATGAAACAGTTGTGTAAATAAAATAAAGTACAAGGCCTACCGCAAGACTTACTCTTCTTAGAAGAAAAATATGCTGAAATTTACTTCTTCAGTGAGATATTGATGTGTATGTTAACAACTGGAAAGCAGTAAAGATCTGCTAGATATTAGTTGGTTAGAAAGACCAAAACCCTGTTTACAGAGCCACTTTTCTTTAGGGAAACTTAAAGCCTACTCTTCCCCTGTCAAAACAACTATGTATAGTACACGAGAGAACAAATCACAGCTCCCTTTACATCTTAGCCAAACCTTACTGCTGCTAAAGGTGCATAATAATAAACCCTCGTGGGACACCTCGGCAGTCTGGGGGAGGCTGAGACACGAAAGGCAGGGGAGGAGGTGGAGGAGGGCGACCACACGGTGGTCCCCTTTAAGTCACTCTGAATCAAAGAAGAAAACACAGGCGCCTCTCTCTTAAGTTCCACACTAATGGAACAGCCCAACTGTCAGGTATTTACACTTGAAATGACTACGATGTTAATGCAGAAAGTAAGGAGAAATAAAATAGAATTGATTCCCTGTTCTACCTGCATTTTCTTCATGACCCCAAAATAGGATTTCAAATATTATAAATATTGAAAAGTATAAAAATAGATTTGTGAAGGAATTTTTCAGTGGTCTTGGCAAGCCAATTATATTTTACATTTTTCTTATCATATTGCATTCCTTTTCTCCCAGGATTTGGGAGCTACAGAAGCAGCTCCTCCAAGCACAGTATGTTCAAGAGATGGATGAACATACAGTGTGCTCCCCCTAACCCACTATTACCCTTTAATGAAACAACAACACTCTGAGAAAAGAAAGCAGAATAAACAAGACAACAGACCTGGCTACTACCAACTTCCTTCGCTCCTCGGTGGTGTATGGCTGCAGAAGAGGAATTCCTAACAACCGCACTTCTTCAAGTTTAGGGAATGAGTTTAGTTTGTCAATGTCTTCCCAGGACTGCAAACCTAATTTGAGAAATACATTGTTTAAGTGAATCCAGAAAAGCACACAAATAAGAATATAAACATAGCCAAAAAAATGATTTCAATTAATAAATTCTGAAAGGTTAAAATGATCATAAACAAAACAAACAAAATCAAAAACAAAAGACCTGTGCCCTTGAGAAGGAAAACATGCAACACATTAAGATTGTTCAGTCCTAAAAGGAAACGCTTCCTATGGCTGTGAACAAATGTATCATCCAAGTCAGTACTTGGCACTGGGAGGGAAAACATTCCTGCCATAATGAAGCTGGTCAGTTTTACAACACATTAAACCCACTGCAGAGAGCAGCGCAGTCCCTTCCTATTCCTATCAACCTTCAGGTAAAGGCAGAGGAGCAATTTACGAGGGCTCTGGGGCACAGCTACCCCAAGTCACAACTGTCCTCTTCCCTTCAGAGTGGCACTGCCATCGAGGAGGAAGAACAGAGTTAGCTCATGGGGTGTCAAGGTGTGAAATAAACAGCCTCCTTATGCAAATCACTGGTTTTTAAAAGTTAATTCTCTTATAACCTCTATGGCAAAATAAACTGTTTATATTTTTTCAGTTATAGGTTAGAGTTATTTTTACCTATGTAGTCGTTTAAAAAAAATTGGCCAAAGACAATGCCAAGCAAATAAGAAGAAAAGCCATAGACTGGGAGAATGCACTTGCTAAAGGCACACTGATAAAGGACTGTTACACAAAACATACAAAGAACTCTAAAAATTCAATAATGAGAAAATGAACAATCCAATTAAAAAATGGGCAGAAAACCTGAACAGACACCTTGCCAAAAAGAAAATATACAGGTGGCAAATAAGCATATGAAAAGATGTTCCACACCATGTGCCATCAGGAAAATGCAAATTAAAACAACAGCGAGATACCACTATACACCTATCAGAGCAGCCAAAAGCCAAAGCACTCACAGCACCAAATGCTGATGAGGATATGAAGCAACAGAAACTCTGATTCACTGCTGGTGCAACGCACAATGGTACGGCCACTTCACAAGACAGTTTGGTGGCTTCTCACAAAACTACAGGTACTCCTACCACATGATCTAGCAACTGTGCTCCTTGTAATCCACCCAAATGAACTGAAAACTTAGGTCCACACAAAAACCTGCACATGGAAGTTCAGAGCAGCTTTAGTAATTAAGCCAAAACTTGGAAACAACCAAGATGTCCTTCAGTTTGTGAGTAGATAAATAAACCGTGGTACATCCAGACAATGGATAATCATTCAGTGCTAAAAAAGAAATGAGCTATCAAGTCACGAAAGGACACGGAGGAAATTTCAATGCATATTACCAAGTGAAAGAAGCCAATCTGAAAAGGCTACATACTGTATGAATCCAACTATATGACATTCTGGAAAAGGCAAAGCTATGGAGACAGTTAAAAGATAAGTGGTTCCCAGGGATTAGGTGGGAGGGAGGGGTGAACAGGCAGAGCACAGAGGATGATTAGGGCAGTGAGCTACTACGTACAACACTGCAGTGGTAGATACGTGTCATTACACATTTGTCCGAACCCACAGAACATACACCACCAAGAGTGAACCCAAATGTAAACTATGGACTTTATGGATGATGCGTCAATGTAGGTTCAACTGAAACGCATCACTTTGGTGCTGGGATGTTGACAGTGGGGCAGGGAGTACATGGGAACTCTGTACTTTCTGCTCAATTTTGCTGGGACCTAAAACTGCTCGAAAAAATAAGGTTTATTAATTTTTAAAAATAGGCTAAAATATTCATTCCTGTGATAAATGGAATCAGACGGCAACAAACTGGTAATCAACTACATGTAAACACTAGAAAAGAGAGCA